CATCTCTGCATCTTACTGCAATAATTCTACCTGCCCTTCTTGCTTCTGCTCTTGCCCCCACCGCAACCCCACCTGAACCCCCCCCCCCGGGGTCTATTGTCAAAATAGCTGGTGTGTTTTTTTGAAGTGTCAGATCATATATATCTTTACTCAAAGCTTCCTCGTCTCCCACTGTGACCCCTGTCACTCCACCCCATCTCCACTGGTTTCCTTGTTCTTTCTTGAACCCTTCTGGAACATGCCTGCCAGAGGGTCACTGTACTGGATCTTCCTTTGCCCGAAACACTTTTCCTTCAGACACTCTCCTGTTATCTACCTCATCTCACTCAACTCTTTGCTCATGTATCATTTCTGTGAGGCCCAACAGACCACTCCAGCACTGTCACCCTCCTCTCAAACTCTTCCCCTCACCCCCTCACATCCTCTTATTTTATTTTTTTGTTCCACTCTAGACTACTACATCGTTTATTCATTCATAAATACTTGTTTGTTTACAATTTGTCTCCCCTGCCCTCTAACCCCAACATGTAAATTTCATGGGGGCAGGGATCTTTGTTCATCACTATCTCCCATCAACCTGGAGCAGTGCCTGGCAAACAGAAGGCTTTCAATAACTATCTGTTGCATGAAAACTTAAGTCCATTTCTTTTTTTAAAGATTTATTCGTTCACGCATACAGGACTGGGGTACAGGCCAGAAGTGTGGAGGTAGGTGAGAAGGTTCACCAGAGACAGAGTGGGGAGCAGAACAGGCAGATAGATCTACTGAAACACACTGCTGAGGGGAGCAGTGGGTGAGACAGGAGAGATCTGTAGTGCCATGTGGGTCACCTCCATGGCTGGGGATCGAACTTGTGCTGCATTGGCAGCTGATAGCTTCACAGTGCTGTGCTTTGACCCATTTTGAGTCCATTTCTTACAGACTGTTGTATAAATCCTGCTGGTTGCTTTTCTCCTTCATGCCTTTGCTCAGGTGGCTGCCCCGTAGCCCCACCCTTGGTACCCCTAGGAAGTTTCCTAAGACACCTTTTTTGGTCTTGTCCTTGGTCAGATGTCTCATTCTGTGCTCTCTTCATTTTCTCACAGCCAAACCAAGGGCTACAGCCCTATCTACACAACAGGGAGCTGTTGCTAGTCAAAGGACAGTGCCCAGTAAAGGGCAGGTCACCGTCTCCCCCACACACAATTGCAAGATACCTCAGGCTCAAGGAATAACAAAAATGGGGCTTATTTCACAAACAGGAAAAGCAAAGAGCTTACAGAAACCACAAGTGGCCAGTTATCTCTCCTCTAGATAGCGTCCACAGTGCTCAGAAGTGAGCAGAGTGCTGATCACATGACAGCAGTGCTGGACAGCACTGGGCAGAGGTGATGGTCACAAGTTCTGGCACCAGGAAGTGCCAGAGACACCAAGTGTTAACGGTTCCTCGTGAGTTCTTGGGCTACCCCAAACAAATAGCTCTTTAAGATACCAGGCCTGGGGCCTTTGGTACAGCCCAGTCGCTGCAAAGTTCTTAGGCTTCTCTTCCTTATTTGGAGGTCGCTGCTGGGTGCTTCTTCCTTCATCTTTGGAGGCTGGAACAGTCCTCTTCTTTCGAGGCCAGGAACAGTCTCCTTGGTGCCCTCTAGCCTGGCCTTATATCTTCTTTCAGGCCCCTTCCACCTGCAAGTCTGATTGGACCATTTCAATCCTATGACTGATTGGCCCACTTGGCACCAATCAACTCATAGTTTGCACCTGATTGGACCACTCTACCATCCACACACCAAGTATAAAAGAGAACCTGGCACAGCCTCATCTCCCCTGCTTTCAAGTCAGGCCCACCTGGTCTATTGGGCTCTGAGGAGCCGCAGCTAGAATGGACCTGCGATGAGTGACCGATGAGTGACCGCCACTGTTGTCACAGCTCCTTCCACTCAGGCTGGGTTCTGTTTCACGACTATTGTGAGGCTCTCCATGAGCCAGAGAATAGTGTCTTGGTTGTAGCTTGGTTGGTAGTGTCTTGGTTCCAGCTCCAACCTCAGATCTTAGAGTATATTAAATACTCAAATTGTTTTTGAAGGGAGTAACATATCAAAAACCAAACCTTTCTCACAACACCTTATCCCTCCTTCCGTATTCCAGAGCTTCCAGTACCTGGGCTAAAACCACACAGCCCCTCAGATGAGGTCTCCTTGATTACAGGCGCCCAACCCAAAGCCACCTCTCCATTCATTGATCTCCAGAGTCATTCTCTGATGTGTTCTGACTTACAGTTATTTCTCAGATTCACAGACTTTTGGTGTGGGAATGACCTTCAATGCAAATTGTTCTTCCCAATCACTGAAGCTTGAAGCTCTTCCAGCACTTTCACTGAGTGCTCATCTATGCCTGCGAGCTTTGCTGTCTGGGAACCTACTGTCCTTCCAAGTGACCACTTAATCTCAGAACTTTCCCAATACAAAATACTTCATATTAAGTGGAACTGTTTTCCTTTAACTAGTTCAACCTTGGCTCTTCTCATATCATCTTTTTTTTTTAAAAAAATTCCTTCCCCTTTCCCTCTTCTGGAATTCCTCCAATACCTCCTCCTATGATCGTTTCTACTTCTCTAACTGGCCAGGCCACCCTCCTCAAATGATGATTCATCCTCTCCAAACCTCTGAGCATCTGACTGAAGATGTTCACGGTGCCGCAGAAGCCCTCAGTTCTATGGTCCTTGCTCTGAACCGTATCAGCCTAGTACAATCACATCAAACCTCTGACTCACAGGAAGTAAACCCAGCACCCCCGGACACCTCTGTCTTTCTGATCTCCTTGGCTTCTGCGTGGTCCACGTGGCGCAACCCACCTGCTAACCTGGGTTCCTGGCTCGTGGGCCCTTCAAGTGTAGGTCATTCATGTAGAGATGCTGGTTTTGCTTCAGGAGTGTGAAGTTAACCCCCTGACTGGTAGGACAGCGCATCTTTCTCCAATCCCCCACAGCTCACCCTGCTCCCTGCCTCCCCAAAGGTGCACAGCAAAATGCCAGACCTCTAGAGAGGCACTGATGAAAAAAAAAAAAAAAAGAAAACTGAAAGAGAAGACCAGGCATTCTGCTCCACACATTATAGCCACAGCGCCCTGGACACCGGCCCCCACCCCACGGCGGGGTCCTCACCAGCCGCAGTAACTTCACTTGGCCTTTCACGCTGAAACAGAAAGGGCGACCCTTAACTTTCTTCGCGGAGTCTGGCATCCCACCGGCAGACCCAGCAGCAGCACTTCCCTTTGGTCCTGAGCGCACCACTGGCTGAGCCTCGCGCTGGGAGCGCAACCGCTGCAAGGCCCCTTCCAGGCTTCCCGCCCTCACCGCCCTCACCCTCCGCGTGCTTCTGAGCGCGCATGCGCAGGTGCCTCCGAGCCAGCCCTGCAGACGAGGCAGGTGACTGCGGCTCCCCAGCTCTCCATCAGACCTGCCCGAGGTGTGGGAGAGGGGGAGGCGCGGGAGGAAGGGCCAGGAACGGCTGTCCTGCCTCCTCAGGCCACGGGCATCTCAAATGCTGACCTCTTAGAATTTCCTTCCGGTCACACAGTCTTGAGTAACCACCATCACCCTCTGTGCATAGCATTTACCACTAGCTGACGTATTTTCATTTTTGCAGCCCTTCAGCCCTCTATTCACTTAGTGTTGTTCTCAAGTGCTCCCCTGAAGCCATAGCCCCACCAGTTGGAGCCTTTCTTTTTAGGGCTGTGAAGTATGCGCGTCCCCGTTTATGTGATTTAAATTCCGTCTTGTTAATGTGGCCACCGGCCCAGTCCATTCAGACGACTTTGGGGCCTCCGCTTACCTGCCTCAGTCAAATCAGATCAGCGGGTACTTTCAGCAGCCCCCTTCCAAGTCGTTCATAAAAATGTTGAGTTTAAGCCTGAAGTGTGTTTATGGAGGGCACATCTCGCTGTGCTCGGTCTGGGGCAGATGATACAGGAAGTACAAGACAGGGTCGGGCTTTCCAGTAACCAGATCTGGACACTCTTGCAAAAGATTTCTTTTCCTGGCCCAAGAGGTGACTGAGTGAGGTGCTCCAGAGAGAGGTGGGAGTGGACATACACACACTCACACACACACACACACACACTCACTCACACGGAGTCCTGCTCCTGATGGCCACAGCTCAGGTGGTCAGGTATGGATCTCCTTCCTCCCCTTGCACCTGTGAATTTCTGCTATCTGACTGTGATTGGGGCGCACAGGCTTCCTCTCCAGCCTCTAGTTTTCTCTCCAGTCTTAATATTGCTCGGGCCTCAAGGAGGAATCTAGTACATTTTAAAAGTTCAGAGGATAGTCAAGCAAAGGCTTGAATTCCAGCTCTACCCCTTAGTGGGCACTTCTGATTTTTTTTTTTTTTTAGAGATTTGTTTATTTATGCATACAAGAACTGGGGGGCAGGCCAGAGGTGCGTGGGTGAGAGGACCCACCAGAGAACAGAAAGGGGAGGTGAACAGGCAGATCTGCAGAAATCCAGTGCTGAGGGGAGCAGCAGGTGGGTCAGGAGAGGTCTGCCACGCCATGTGGGTCAGCTCCCTGGCCAGGAATTAAATTCGTGCTGCCAGGGCTTCGGATAGCTTCGTATTGCTGCGCTTTAACCGGTCGAGCCACCCGTTTATTTATTTTAAACACGTTATTTAAGTTTCCGAGGATCAGCTCGGAGAAAGGGCGTGGCAGTTTCCCAGGGCAAGCTAGTAGGGAAGCGGAAACAACACCGTCAGTGTGCGCGAGGTACCGGGCTCGAATAGTGCTCACTTGGCGATCTCGAGTAGTTCATGAGCGCGTCAAGCCTGGAGTTCAGCCTGCCAGCGCTCCGTTAGACTTGCAGGTTGCAAAGGCGCGCTCCCCTCCCGGCAGGCGCCGAAAAGCGACCGGGGCTCTTTAAGAGCGGGGCTCGCGGCGGCGCGCGGAGACCGTCCGGGCGCGGGGCCGCGCTCGCGCCAGCTCG